CAATGGGAGAGGTGAAGCCACAGCTCAGAGGGAAGGAACGGAACAGAGAAACCGGCAAAGCAACCAATGAAAGGAGGGAATAGCAGAGGGACTTGCGTAGTGGAGAATCAACAGAGTGTGGGAGTTCTGGAAGGTGGAAGTAGTCTTAGAAGTGATTGATAAGCTAATGCGTCATGATAATGCAAATAGATGCTGAGGGTAAACTGGCTTGGATCGTAAAGATCCAACAAGCTCGCCTGTTTGGGAGGAGGCGTTATATCTGCCACCTCTCCTTCAACTCTCGAAGCTGAGGAGGTGGTGTGGAATTTCAAAGAAGGCAAAAAGGGATGGGGTGGGGGCATTGGAAAGGCTTGCTGGCCTTCTTGCCCGACCTAAAAAAGTGAGATTTCCTTCACATATGATGGGGGGGGGGGAATGGGAAGAAGAGAGTAGGGGATAGCGTGAGAAGGGAAAATCAAGGAGGTGGCAACAGATGGGTGGAGGTAGTTTCTTGCACTTTGGCCAGAATGGAAAAGGCAGGGAGGAGTTTATTACACATCCCACATCTAACTCATCAAAAATTCCTGTTGTTCCCACCTTCAAAATATATTTATAACCTTCCCACTTCTCACTGTCATCTCCTCCAAACATCTTAACAGGTTTCTACCCCCATTCCCATTCCCATTCTGTTCTGTTCACAGCACTGGGAGGGATACCATTAAATCTTAAGTCAGGCCACCTTCCTCCTGTGCTCAGAGTGCTGCCAGAGCTCCCATCTCACTCAGATTGAAAGCCAAGGCTTCACAGGGCTCTACCCAATCTAACCCCTCCCCTCATCTCTCTGACCTCTCACCTCCTACCACTGCCTCCCCGCCAAACACACATACACTGTTCCAGCCACACTGGCCACCTCGATATGCCAGGCACAATCCAACTTTAGTAGTGCCTTGCCTTAATACTTGCTTTCCTCCTGGAGTTTCACAACCACACCCAGCGATAACCTCACCTGGCCAGGTCCTTACGAGTCCCCTTTCTTACCGCTCTCATAGTACCCTGTGCTTTTCTTTATCACAGTTTGTAATTATCAGTTTATATGTTTATTGACTGTCTCTCCCACTAGACTAGGGGATGTGACCGTGACTTATTTATGCTGTACACACATCACTTAGAGCAAACCAATGTTAAGAAACATTTATTGAGGAAATAAATAATAGAAACAACATGAGACTTTTTATTCTTTGCTCAGAATCTTCCCATGACTTACACCTCATCCAGAGTCAAAGCTAAAGACCTCACAACCTAGTCCTATGTGACCCCATTACCTACTCTCTGATATCACCTCCCACCATTCTCCCTTGCTCATTCCTCTCATGCCCCACTGACTTCCTTGCTGTTCCTCAAAAACACTAAACATAGTCCCACCCCAGGGCTTTTGCACTGGCTCTGCCCTCTGCTAGGAATGCTCATACCCTATCCCCACACCCCACTCCCAATCAGTTCTTCTATGTGGTCTTCTCTGACTACCCTACTTACTACGGCAACCTTCCTTCCCTACTGGCACTCCTAATCCCCTCACCCTGGTCTACTTTTTATTTTTGCATTTCACTTATAATCACCTTAAGTCTGTCTCCCCTGCTACAATGTAAGCTCCACACAGATGAAGATCTTCATTTATCTCAATATAGTTTATAACCAATGACTAGAACAGTTCCTGTTAACAGACTTTTTGGGTTAGGGAAGTGAGGACCATAATTTCTTTGGTGCCTAGCCTGGTGGGGAAAATATATCTTCCCAGTTGGGGCAGCTGGGATGAACTGACTCCAGGAATCTGAGTGAAGGGAAAAGGAAGAAAAGGCATATCAGGCAGAGGGGAAAGCCAGGGTGAAAGCATAGCAACCCAGCCCCTCCCCAAGGGCAGCACCTGTGTCTGGACCCCCCTCTCCTTTCTTTGTCTTTTGTCTCCACAGGTCAGTGGAACCCAGGAGGACCCCATGGGTGGGCAAGAGCTCAGGAGAAGGCCTGCCCCCCCTTCTCACCTCTATACCCCAGGTCTCCACCTCTCAAGCCAGGAGACCCTTAACTGTCTTTCATTATATATATATATATATATATATATATATATATATATATATATATATATATATATATCTCCTGTCTCCCACTCCACACCACTCATACATTAGGGGCTCAATCTTTAGTGAGCCCCTCTCTTACCCCTAGCCCTTTCCCTGCATCCCTTGGCCCCTCTCTGTTCCCTGGCCCTGTACCCTGAAGTTGGGGAGGACTCTGAAAGAGGGACAGGGAGGAGACAGACCTTGGCTATGTGGGGAGGGTAAGCTTGACTTCAGACTCTCTCCCCTCTCTCCCTTCCTTCCTCCCAACTCTGGCCTTGATTTTTTTCAGCAATGTTTGAAAAAGGACCATTACAGAAAAATTCAACCCTAAGTGGGGTGGAAGGGGGGAGAAAGGCAGAGATTGGAGAGGTTGGGACCCAAGGTGGTCTTGGAGAGGAGCTCTGGTGGAGGGGACTCGTAAGCAGGGAGTTTGGTTCCAGACATACTGGAAGTGTAATGTAAAGGAGAGGGGTGTCCTAGAGCATTCTGGAGGGGAGCTTGGAAGGAGGCTGAGGGTGAGATTCTAGAAAGATCGGAGCTTTGAGTGAGGCAGCAGGTGGGCCTCAAAGTGATCAAGGCTTGTAGTAGGACTTAGTTATATGGAAGGGATGTGACTTGGGGACCTGGGGACAGGGTTTGGAAAAATGCTGAGAGTTCTAGAGGGGTGGGGCTTTAACCAGGCAGTAGGTGAAGCTCCAGAGTGGGCAGGTCTTGGATTGGGACCAGAGTTTATGGGAGTGGTGTGACTTGGAACATTTGGGAGACTGAGTTTGATTCTAAAGAGGACAGGCAGGAAGGGTGATTCAGTAATGGGCTGCTGTTGGAGTGAGGGCGTGGTCCAGATTCTAGGTGGGGTAGGGCTTAGAGTGGGACATGCCTGGTGGTTTCAGAGGGGACAGCCTGCCCAACCACTCCGCAATGGAGCAGTGAAAAGAATATGTTTTAAAGTGGGCAGGTTTGACAGTGGCTAAGGATTGTTGAATGGGTTTTGTTAGTGGTAGGAAGAATGTCCCTGGCCAAGACAAGGGACTGAGAGGGCCTGTTGGAGACCTGAGAGGTAGGGCTTGGAGGGTAAGGGGTGGGATCCAGAGAGAAGCAACCACACATGCCCTTGCCCACCCCACCACGGGACTGCTAGGTAATCAGAAAACAGAGCCAATGGGCCTCTGGGGCCAGCCCACCCCTCTCCCCTCTTCTCCTGCCTCCTCCCTCCCTCCACATCCCACCTGTACCCGGGTGGTTGGAGGCCCGGTCTGGAGCCCCTCTCCTACACCTTATGCTGTGTCTGTGATGTCGGTAGTGCCTGTGACCGTGTGTTGCCATTTTGTCTGGCTGTGGCCCTTCCCCCTCCCCTCCAGACCCCCACCTTTTCCCTTGCCCTTCGGTATTGTTTGAAGACTCCCTCCCAAAGGAAGAACAAATATGATTAATTATCCTCCTCTAAATAAACTCCTCAACCAACTAGTACCTCTGACTGGGACTTCTCAGTGTGTCTTTTGGGGGGACACAAAGGGAGAGAGGAGACAAGGTGAAGGGAAGCTCCATCCCTGACCTGCTGGACACTGTTCAAGTCATCTCACCATTTTAGGCCCCTCTAACAGTAGCGAAGCTTAAGTCATGCTCTGAGTAGCCCTGCGCAATGCCCCACTACTGGCCACAGAAAGCCCTGTCTTTCAAAAGTTCGGTTCTATTTCTGCTCCCTTAGCCATGCGCCTTCTCTGCCCTGCCCTCAAAATTTCAAGTTCGAATAGGACCCCATACTTCACAGGGAGACTTCCCTTTACCAACACCACTCGTATTCTTTAGACCCTACTGTCTCTTCATTTCTTTGCCTCTCCTCCAACTAGAAGACCGGGAGACCCAATAGGCTGCAAGGTCGGGAGGCGGAGCGCTGGGGTGACTCGTTATTTCATTCATTCATTCTTTTTAACCCCTCCAGGCTCCTCCCTTGAGCAAGGAGAGGCGGTAAATGTCTGTGATGTGCGTAATGGGGCCGGAGGGGGCAGGGAAATCCCTGGCGCCTGCGATGAAAGGATAGGCTGATCGCCGCCTCCGCCACGGCTAATTAGAGACCCCAACCAGGCGCCCGAGTTCTGACTGCGGGTCTGGGACCCCTTCCTGCCGGCCCCAAGGCACAGCAAGGCCTGATAACATGAAAGAGAGACTCCCAGCTCTGGAACTGAGCTCAGGGAACGGGATGTCTAAGAAAAAAAAAAAAACAAAAACGGGAACAGGGGAAAGAAGTTTACCAGATCTTCTCAGGATTTAGGGGGCATGACAAGTGGGGTGGGGACGGAGAGGGGAAGAGAAGATGGTAACCTAGTTAGTGACTTTAACCTCGTTATAAAACTCAAATAATCCTGGCTCTGAATGGATGGGAGCGGGGCGTGTGGCGGTGTATAAGCTCTACCTCTCTAATAGAGGCGAGGGAGCACCAACTGGGGCTGTAATGGAGTTGGGGACCATTTTTTCAGCGTTCATCGGAATAAAGAGTCCTTGGAACATCACCAGTGGAGAAGAGACCAAGGGGGCTTTAACCCCTCCCGCAAATAAGCATCCAAGATAAATGGACATAAAGCGCCAATACAAGTACCCTAGTGCACCACGTCTTGCATTCGGATCGCTACTTCCAAGTCGCCCTTCCTCCATTACAGTTCTCAAGCCCTAGAATGTTTTGTGAGAGGCCACGTGGCATCTTGGGGTTCTAGGGTGCGTGGCAGGAGGGCAAGAGGGGAGCCGCCCCCCCCCTCCCCCCCCCCCCCCCCCCCCCCCGCACAGCGCTCCTGGACTGCGTGCCCTTCACCTCTAGGCAGGGGGCGCCTTGGCCAGGGAGAGACACAAGCCCAGGGGCGGGCGCTGCGGGGCGCGCTCCTCCCCCACTAGTGTCAGGTTTACGGAACAGAGCTTCCAACCCGGACGCGCGGTGTCCTGGCGGCTGCGAGGATCTCATTCTCCTGACCTGGCCCGTCTTGACCCTGCCTGGGCGCGCCATGTTCGTACGTGGGTCCCGGAGGCGCCGCTCTGGGCGTTCGGTGAGCAAGACTCAGTGCAGCTTCAGGGCTTAGGGGTAAACTGAGGCCCAGGAGAGGGGGCAGGGGATAGGGATAGTGAGGAGGTACTCCACAGCAGGTTTGGGAATTCCCATCCCCAGAATTTCCAAACCAGAGGGGCTGGGGCTACTGGAAGCCTGTGGGTAAAGGAACGTGAAGATCTGGTGGCTCGCGTTCCCTAATCGCCCCTTCGAACTCCTTTATTAGCATCTCAAGGACCCGGTGTGCTCCCCTCTCATGTGAATTATGGGAAGGGATTCTGAGGACCAAAAGATTGGGTCTTGGGTTCCTGGATTGAGCAGGGTCCTTTCCAGCTTCTGAGGAAAGAGATTTCCCCTTGTACCTTGGTGGAAAGTGAACTGAAGGGTGAGGTTCTACACTCCTGGGGGCTGGAATACTGAAGGTCAAGGGATTGGAATTTGGGGTAAGAGGGCTTCTAGGCTTCCACTTGAGCAGACAAAGTTTTACTTCCTACATAAGAGGGTCTCCTTTTTTTTTTTTTTTGGTGGGGGTCTCTAAGTGGAGCATTGGTTTGGTGGTCCGGAGTAGTGAATAGCCTCAGGATATGAGGGGTAAGGTCCAAGGCTTCTTGGGGCAGCGTTTCTGAATGGATCAAGGGCCTCCGGAGGTCCTGGAGGAGGCTCTCCAGTTCCTTGAGTAAAACCAGGGCTTGGGGGAGTGGTTCATGTGTGGACCTCAGCTAAGGATGAGGTCTCAGACTCCTACCCCTGGAACTTGAGTGCTGCTGGCCTCGTGGGTGGAGAAGGGGCCGAGAGAGGCCTTCGGGGAGAGACATTCAGATTAGGGACTCTGAGTTCTGAGTGGGGAGAGTACTCTAAGTTTTGGGGGAGGTGTGTGAGGCCAGGAGGAATCAGAGGTCTGGCGGAGGGGGATCCTCTGCTGGGTGGGGGAAGTTGCGGCCGACCCGGGAAGGGGAATCCCTTGAAAAGGGGGCATAGAGGGAGGTGGCCTCAGCTGCCCCTCCTCTATCTCTGTTATGTTCCCCTTCCCTGAGCTCTGGGTGCTGTCCCAGCCTGCCCAGTGGTGCCCTAGTAAGACAGGCCCCGGCGTGCGGGCTCGGGCTCTGGAGTGGAGAGGAGGGCGTTGACTTTTCCCTCCCTGCCTCGGTGCCCGGCGGTATCCTGCGTCTGTCCGCTCCCCCACTACAGCCTCCCGAGGCAGAGGACCCAGACCGAGGCCAGCCCTGCAATTTCTGCAGGGAGCAGTGCCCTGGCTTCCTGCTGCACCGCTGGAGGTAGGTGACTATCGAAGGGAACCCCCAAAGACTTAGGCCACACCCCTGGGCATTAGCTTGGTCCACAGAGGAAGCTCAATCGGGAAAAGAGCCTCACACTCTGATTCAGAGCCCCACCTCCTGACTCATTCCCTATTGTCTGATTCCCAGGAGAGCTCCGCCCATAACACAGCCCCGCCTCGGAAGTGTCCTCCCCACCCATCCCAGTCCTATCTCATGGTCCTGGGCTCTGAGCATCGCCTACTGACCTCCAGCCCCCTTTTTTAAATTTTAAAGATTATATTTATATACTCTGGTTTCTCTTCAGATCGCATAAATCTTTCGCCTTTTAAAGATTATATTTATTTCCTTTTTAGAGAGGGGGGAGGGAGGAAGAAACAAAGGGAGAGAGACACCAATGTGTGAGTGATACATCCATTGGTTGCCTCTCACACGCCCCCAGCTGGGGACTTAGCCTGTAACCCAGGCCTGTGCCCTGACTGGGAATCAACACTGAACCACACCAGCTAGGGCAGCTCAGCCCCCTTCTTGAGTTAGGAGCAGCTTTCCCAGACTCCTGTGCCCTATCCTACTGGATCCCAGTACCCAAAACATCCCATAACATGCCACAAATAGGGCTCTATCCAAAAGTTCAGAGTCTCAGCACAGGCTAGAGCCTACCTCCAGGGAAAGTTCTGCAATGTCCAGGGCCTGTCCTGAGGGGAAGCTCTAATGTATAACTCCAGTCTCAGCCTCAAAGCCTCACCCCTATTCAGGCCCAGGTCCCAGAGCTGAAAGTAATGGGCCAGCCTTGAGACCCCATGGCTCCATCTCTGCACCTCCTGTGCCTAGGCTCACAGCCCCAACCCCTCTCAGCCCACCCTCAGGCTCAGAGTCCTTTAGTGGTTGTAATCTGCATGTTCCTGCCCCTCAGTTGGACTTCCTTGGGCTGCAGAGGGGTCCAAGTGGACTACTGTTTAGTAATTTGCCCCCATCCTGGCCCCTCAGGAAGATCTGCCAGCACTGCAAATGCCCTCGGGAGGAGCACGCTGTGCACGCAGTGCCTGTGGACCTGGAACGCATCATGTGTCGGCTAATCTCAGACTTCCAGCGCCACTCCATCTCTGATGATGACTCGGGCTGTGCCTCAGAGGAGTATGCTTGGGTGCCCCCTGGTCTCAAGCCAGAGCAGGTGACCAGAAGGCATCACCCACTGTTGCTCTCCAGTGGGTGCACACACATATTTCAAGTGGAAACCTATTTCTGGGGTAACACTAGGGTGTGTGGTCAGATGCCTATCTTTTTTTAAGCCTTTGTGACCTAGGGATAATCAGACCCCCAAAACTCTCAGGGAACCCTGAGTGGTCACTCAGCCAGTTCCTTGGATTCTGTTCACCCCGCTCCTGTTTTACCCTTACCTAAGGGTTTATCCTGGCATTTCATTCACCACATCTCTATTGATTCATTTATTCAACAGCTATTGAGTGCCTCCTGCATACCAGACACTGTTGCAGGCACTGAGGACAGGCTCCAACAATTAACAAAACTGTGTGTGTGTGTGTGTGTGTGTGTGTGTGTGTGTGTGTGTGTGTGTACGCCCCCACATAGAGGTTAGATTCCTGAAGGGAGCAACAGCCAGTAAGCAAATCTATACAAATACATCAGATGGTGAAAGATCTAGAATAGAAAAACAGGGAAGGGGTGGAGACATGTTAGGATTGTAAATACAGCACACAGGTAGGCCTCTGTGAGACTATGATGTTTGAACTTCCTGAAGGAGGTGAAGAGGGAACCATGCAGAAATCTGAGGCTAGAGAGATCCAGGCAAATGGAATAGGTAATGCAAAGGCCCTGAGGCAGGAGTGTGCTTGGCATGTGTGAGGAACAGTGAGAAAGCCAGTGCACTGGAGCAGAGTGAGCCACAGGAGAATGGTTGCAGGAGGGGTCAGAGAGATGGCAGGGGGAGGGGCACAGAAAGGACTTGGGCTTCTACACTAATGAGGAAGAAGCCACAAGAGATTTGTGAGCAGAGAAGGGATGCGATTTGTCTTAAGATTTAACAGGATCCCTCTGGCTGCCAAGCGTAGAACAGACTGTAGGAGTAAGGGTAGAAGCAGGGTACAAGTGAAAGGGAGATTACTCCAATAGTCTAGGTGGCCAATGACGCTTTTGGCGGTGGAAGTAGTAAGTGGTGGTCGGATTCTGGTTATATTTTGAAAGGAAAGCTGAGAGAATTTGCTTGAGGGTGGGAGAGAGAAAGGAGTCAAAGATGACCTTAAAGGTGCATGGATTAACTGATATGGGTTGAGCCAAGGCAGGAGTGTGTTTGAGGTCTAAGCATAAGTTTGGTTTTGGTATCTGCAGCTTGAGATGCCCATTTGACATCTGAGTGGCCATGTTGCTTGGGACTCAAGGGAGAGATTGATCGGAGCTAGAGGCATGTATTTGTGGGGCATTAGCCATGAGAGAGTATAGCTACAGGGTTGGATACAACTCCCAAGGGACTGAAGGGAGACAGAGGCAAGAGGACGAAGGATTGAGCCTGAGGACCCTCCCACATTCAGGGGTTGGTTAGTTGAGGAGGAACCAAAAGAAAAACAGAAAAGGAGCAGTAAATAGGTTTTTGTGAGGTTTTTTTAGAAGAAGGAAACCCAGGACCATGTGGTGTCCTGGAAGCCAAGGGAACACAATGTTTCCAGGAAGAGGGAGTCATCAGCTGTGTCCAGTGCTACCGATGGGTCAAGTTGGATGAGGATTGAAACCCGAACAATGACTTTAACAATGTGGATGGCATCAATGACCCTGATAGGAATAGCTTTAAAGGAAGGGCAGGGAAGACTGACTGGAGTTGGGTGTATAGAGAATGAATGGGAGAAGAGGAAGTGGAGACAGTGAGCGCATGTAACTCTTTTGAGGAATTTTTCGGTAAAGGGAAGGAAGAGAAAAGCGGAGCAGTAGCTGGTGGGAAAAATGGTGTCAAGACGTAAGAGAACTCTTGGTATGTTTGGGAGGTAACAAAAATGATCCAGCCTGTAGGTAGGAGAAATGAAGGGAGTCAGGAGACATTCCCTCTGATGACTTTAATTTTCTCAGAGAAGTAGGGACTCATCATTCCACTGCATTCCAATTACCCCTAGTCTCAATGGTTTTCTCCCATCCTCCACATCCTCCCAGGTATACCAATTTTTCAGCTGCCTCCCAGAGGACAAGGTCCCCTACGTCAACAGTCCCGGGGAGAAATACAGAATCAAGCAGCTGCTGCACCAGCTGCCCCCACATGACAGTGAGGTGAGGAGAGAGAAGACAGGAAGGGCATGCCAGGTAGGGGGCACAACCTGGGAAAATGGCAGGCAGTTGGAAAGAAATGGGCAGGATCAGAGGTGAGCTGATCTGAGGTGAAACATCTGAAAGGGCAGGGGCAATCAGGGGACATCCCTTGGCAGAACCACAGCTGGGACTTGGGAGAGGTCAGGGGTGGGTATTTCAGGCAGGAAGCAACAGCTATACAAAGGCCTAGAAGTAAACTTTTTGAGCATGGATGGAATTTGAAAGAGGGTAGCGGGGCTGACATCAGGGGAGGAGCCTGGACAACCTCCACTACCCCAGGCACAGTACTGCACAGCACTGGAAGAGGAGGAGAAGAAAGAGCTCAAAGCTTTCAGCCAGCAGCGGAAACGGGAGAATCTGGGGCGAGGCACTGTGCGAATCTTCCCTGTGACCATCACTGGGGCCATCTGTGAGGAGGTGAGCTATGGAGGGCCTCAAAATGTGAGTGGTGCCTTTGCTCTAAGCCCTGGGGTTCAGGTCCCATATCCCTATCCCTCTATTTGTCAGGGATGGCCTTAGAGTCTAAGGCCTTCCCGCCAGTGCTGTGTGTAGGGCCCCCTGGTGGATGGAACCTGTCCCTCAGATCCCACTGTTGGGTGTGGTCTGTCACTGAGGAGGCCCCAATGGACCTTCTCTATTAGCTTCCTGCCTTCAACAAAGTGGAGGCTGTTTGTCTGGTCCCCTTGTGGTTGAGCCTTATCCTTAAGAACCCACCCACAGGGGCGGGACCTATCCCTAGAGCCAGCTGATGGGTGGAATTTGTCTCTAAGCTCCCCCATGAGTGGAGCCTGACCTTAGATCCTACTGTTAGGTGGGGTCTGTCCCCACAGTTACCCCACTGGGCCTGGCATGTTTCTATGGTTTCACCAACTTCCCAAGGGCAAGACTTGCCTTTAAGGCCACCCACAATGAACAGGGCCTATCTCTAAGGTTTCCAACAAGAGCATGGTCAGTTTCTAAGGCACTTCCTTCCCCCATGTAGGCAGCGCCTGTCTCAAATTTACCCCATGGGTAAGGCCAGTCACAAAGGTCCACCATGGGGAAGGCCCAAGTATGACACAGACCTTGGCTGATCCTCATCTAACCATCTTGGTGAGGGTGACAGTGTTATTTATCATCTGGCAGTGTGGGAAGCAGATTGGAGGTGGGGACATTGCAGTGTTTGCCAGCCGAGCAGGACTGGGTGTCTGCTGGCACCCCCAGTGTTTTGTGTGCTCCACGTGCCGGGAGCTGCTGGTGGATCTCATCTACTTCTACCATGCTGGCAAGGTCTACTGTGGTCGTCACCATGCCGAACGCCTGCGCCCACGCTGCCAAGCCTGTGACGAGGTGTGTGCCTCTCTGCCCAGGGGTCGGGGTGGAGGGTGGGCAGGGCCGGGGTAGGCCCTGCTGATGGCCACAGATGGCCTGCACTCCACCCCCCCCCAGATCATCTTCTCCCCTGAGTGCACGGAGGCTGAAGGCCGGCACTGGCACATGGGTCACTTCTGCTGCTTCGAGTGTGAAGCATCGCTAGGAGGTCAGCGCTATGTCATGCGTCAGAGTCGCCCCCACTGCTGCGCCTGCTATGAGGCCCGCCATGCAGAGTACTGTGACGGCTGTGGGGAACACATCGGTGGGTTAACATGGCACCAGACAGGGGGATGGATGAACAGCTGACCCGCAGCCCCTGCTTTCTCCTGTTCTCCACCCCCAATGCCCTCCCCCGCTTCACTGTTATCACGATACTCTCAGTCTAGCCCAAGCACTATAGCCCTATACCCTTCACTGCAAGTCCCATCACTGATACCCTCCATTTGGGGAGGTGGGGCCATATTTTCTAAACCCCACCTACACAGTGCAGACACCACTATATATCTAGGCCCACCTCCAGAGTGACCTCTAATTCCCAGTACCCCAGGGCTATCCTTTCAGTCTAGCCCCATTTGGGAGGAGTGGTATGTGCCTGGAGGCTCTGCCCTAGTTTCCCCCCTTGCGGTCTCCCCTACACCCTTAAGCTATACCCCATTCCCTAAGACTCTTCTCCATTAACCTGGAAAACCGATTTTGAGCCAGTGTGTGTGGCAGGCACACTGGTGTGCTGTAAGGATTTTAAAAATGTACAATACCTGACTGCTTAGTCAGGCCACGGACATCTCCCTTAGATTGTGAAATGAAAAAAAATGACAACAGCCAACATAGCAATAGTCTTCAGGTGTGAATGAATCAACATTATACCCATTTTTGTCAGATTGGCAAAAAATCTATTTTTGGGTGTGCCACAGGTGTTTACTAATTAGTTTATGTGTGCCGTGAGATGGAAAAGGTTGAACACTGCTAGCCTAGATACGTCATATTTTCTAAGCCATATCCTACTCTTTAAGATCCATTCCTTTCCCACCGAGGCCACGCCCTACCTTCTAAGCCTTGTTCCCACCACCCAGACCTCTTTAAATCCACTCTCCTTTCACCCGAAGCCACCTTTTACTGTCTAAGCCTGACCCACATCTTAGAGTCAAATGCTCACCCCCTACTCCGGGAGGGAGCAACTGGGAAAGAGTGGGGGGGGTCGGGGGGAGCGGTAGGGGACATTTATCAGCTGGTTTCCAGGTGAGGAGAGTGAGGAACCCTATCGTGAGGACCAAACCTCAAATGTCCTGCTTTCTGCAGAGAAGGGCCCGTTTTTTTGGAAAGGTGGTGGGGAGAGGGCCTCTTGGGGTGCTCTGCCTCAGATTCCTGCTCTCTTCTGTGGAAGGGCCCCATTTGGGAGAGGTGGAACATGCCTGGGGGCTCTGCCTTAGTTTTCCCCCCTCTCGGTGTCCCCACAGGCCTGGACCAGGGCCAGATGACTTATGAGGGCCAGCATTGGCACGCCTCAGACCACTGCTTCTGCTGCAGTCGTTGCGGGCGAGCCCTGCTGGGTCGCCCCTTCCTGCCACGCCGTGGCCTAATCTTCTGCTCTCGAGCCTGCAGCCTGGGGTCGGAGCCCACGGCTCCAGGGCCAGGCCGCCGCAGCTGGAGCGCAGGTACAGTCCCTGCACCACTTGCAGCCTCCACAGCCTCTTTTTCTGCTGTGGAGGAGACATCTGAGCTCACCACCAAAGACACCAGTACTGAGCCAGAGCCTGGTGAGTTAACCCTTGAGTCCTGCCCAGCCACTCCGAGTCCTCCCCCTCCCCCAACCCCAGACCCCTCGAGGTGACTCACCCAGGCCCTTCACCTGCTACATCCCTGGCCATGCCCCCAAACCATTCCAGGCCTAGTCTCCACCCAAACTACACCCCCCACCCCCCCACCATGAACCCTGGTTCTGCCCTCTTCTGTAGAGGGCCCTTCCCTATTTCAACTTGTACTGCCTGAGTTCAAGTTCCTCTTCCTCCTCTCCAAACCCTTGACCTTCCACCCTATCAAAAACCTAATCTGTACCAGCCTATTCCATGCCCCTTCTGTCAAAGCCATGTCCCCTTGCACCAATCCATTCCTGCTCCTATGTTCCAACCTCACACTCCCCTCCATTCAGAGCCTGTCCCAGGCCTCATATTTCCTAGACTCCCCACTTCACTACCCCTCTCTGACCACTGCCCCAATTTCCCAGTCCTGATAGGGGAAAGCAGGCCCTTCCACAGGGCTCCTCTGGGAGGCGACAGATATAGGGACTCCCTACATCTCTCTTTCCAGCTGCAGGCCCCAAGGAGCCCACCCACTTTCTGAGAGGGGCCCCTCACCGACACTCCATGCCCGAGCTGGGGCTACACAGTGCTCCTGAGCCACCCTCAGGGACCCCCAGCCAGCTGGACCCTGAAGATGGTGCCTTCAGTCGACAGAGTGCCCCTCGTGTCAGCTTCCGAGACCCTCTGGTGTCTGAGGGAGGCCCTCGTCGGACCCTGAGTGCACCTCCAGCCCAGCGCCGCAGGCCTCGCAGTCCCCCTCCCAGGGCCCCCACACGTCGCCACAGCCACCATTATCTCTACCGCCACCGCCACCGCCACCAGTCTGGAAGACTTCACCACCATCAGTGTGACTTGGGATCCGGGTCTGACTCAGAATCTTGCTCTAGCTCACCCTCCAGCTCCAGCTCTGAGTCCTCAGAGGATGATGGCTTCTTCCTAGGGGAACGGATCCCACTGCCCCGGCACCTGTGCAGGTCCGTGCCTGCCCAGGACACTGCAATGGAGACCCCCAACTCTCCATCTCCACCGGCTCCTGCAATTTTGGGCCCAGGGATGCCTCGCCAGGCCAGAGACAAGAACTGCATAGTGGCTTGAAGGCAAGGCAGTCCTGGGAGGTTCTATTCCTCCATTCTCAAGTCAGTAGCTAACTTGAGAATACATCCCCTTCCTTCCTCCCTCTGTGCCATTGAAGTAATTTCATATTTGATGTAAAACAGGCCTGGCTTTTTTACCTCCTTGCTGTAGCTGTCCACATTCCCAATTCTTCCCCTCCTGATGCTTGAGATTTATCTATACTTGATCAAAGGATTAATTTATTCATTATCATACAGTCTAACAATCTGTTTATTATTTATTTATATTTATCCCTCCACAGAACCACCACCTCTCCACACTGAGGTTTATTGGAGTGGGCCACAACCTAGGGGCTGGACTGTGAAATCTGAGGCACACTTCTCCCTCATTTTGTGCCTGAGGTGGAGGCATAAGTCCAGGCAGAACTGGTGTCTGCTTTTGGATACTTGACACAGCCATAAAGGTGGCCACACCCAGGATGGTTGATTGGCAGGCTGAAAGACAAATTCTGATAAAGGCACTTTTACCTCAATTAGGGGACTGGGAGTTTGGCTAGAAGTGTTTGTAGGGTTGGGGAGGAGTCATTTCAATGGAAGTGTTATTTGCAGGTTGCAGAGAGAAATGAAGGGAGTTCACCTACACCGGGCCATCTGCAGGGTCTGCAAGTGAGGAAAACATGGAAAGCAGTTGGGGTCCATATGCCCATTTGACAAAAATACTGAAGCTTATGGTACTTATTGGCACTAAAGTCATAAGTACCAGCAAAGGACAAAGCTGGCATTCATACCCTTGGGATACCCCTTTCCTTCTCTCCTCAACCCCATCAACAACACACCCCTACATAGACACACACACACACACACACACACACACACACACACACTTACTTACTTACTTACTTACCAGTAGGGGCTGCTGTATGTCTTTGCTGCCTCAACGGGAAGGTGAAATAGGCATCAAAGCCAAAGAGGCACGCAGCGATTAGGCCCATCACCTGGAGGTGGGGATGGGAGTGAGGGGGTTGAATTAGGCTGGTCAACCTACTGGGCCTCATACCTCCTATCTCCAGGACTTCCCCGTGCTGGGATGGTGACTAAAGCCCCAGGTTGCGAAGCCAAAGAGCCCCAAGAAAAGATCAGGAAACTGGACTCTACCCCCACTCTCCCTTCTAGTACTGCTCGACACGGTATAGCCACATGGTGGCCCCACATACAAGTGGCACCATTCAGTGTACATTGAGACAAAGTTCTAGCAGATGGCAGTCTAGTGTGTTGACAAAGATCCTGTGTCAGGCAAAGGATAGCCCTTTTCGGCCAACAATGATCTTGAAAGAAAAACCAGGGCCTGGGCCAGACTTTCCTGCAGACACTGAGGACAAGTGTGGCCTGCTGTGGGTCACATACTTTCTGCCATAAGCAGAGACAGAAATGGCCCCTAGATTCTCAAATCTCTTTCTGTGCTTTGGAGCTGCCTTCACAGCGTTTACCCCTGCAATGATTTTGGAGTGGTTTCCTTTCTCAACGAGGACGACAATGGAGATGATCAGGTAGAGAATGGCCGCTACGAGGGCTCGGAAGAAATCCTGTAAGGGGTAGGGAGAAAAGGGAAGTCAGTGTCCAGAGTACCAAGACAATCCCAGCTGTCCGGGCCCCTCCCATGCCTGGCCATTTCTGGCCCCTTTCTCACACTCCAAGGCCAGTTGATGATCTGTATCCTGGTGTTCAGGTCACACATGTAGATGACAAAGAAGACAGCGGCAAGGATCATCTCAACCACTGACAGAGAGGAGTATGCCGATGTGGAGGCAATGAAGCAGATCAGAATCACCAGGCACAATATCTGGAAGGACAACATGAGGAAGGGGTCCTCCATCAATTCCTAGGGCTGTGGGGATGGGTTCAATCAGGGGTCTCAAACTCAGATGCCTACCAGGACTGAGAAGATGACAAATAATCATTGCTACACACTTGTGTTCCAAATACTTTTCTAAGAGCTGTACAAATATTAATTCACTTGATCATCCCAACAACCTAATATGTTGGGTACTGTTATTAGTATGTTTATTTTATAGGTAAGTGAGACACAGAGACGTTAAGTGACTTGCCCAGGGTCACCCCGCTAATAAGGGGTAGAGTTGGGCACCTCAGTTCCTCCCTCTTTCCAAGACAGGGGCGGCCTGCAGGGAGTGGCCCCGCCAGGTATTTTGAGAGCACTGTTGGAGCCAGCTTAGGGCCTTGACCGGGGCGGGACGTGCAGTTACTCCGGCAACCCCTTTGGGAAGCGGTGAGAGTGACAACGGAGGGGCAGGGCTCCGGTTAAAGGCACCGCGCCCCATTTACAAGTGAGTCAAAGGCGGTGCCCTCTTTGAGAGGGGCGGGAAAACGAGGCTCGGGATAGCTAAGGACCTCCCACCTCACCACAGCAGGGCGAGAAAGAACCGGGGAACGGCGGAGCACCCTACCCAGCGGGACAGGCTTGGGGCTCCACCCCAACAGACGCCGCCCCTGGGCGCGCTGCCAGCCCGCCGGTCCGTGCCCAGGCCGCGCCACGCCCTGCCGCGGGATGCCCCCCACCTCTCACCCCTCTGACACCCCTTCAATGATCCCACGGGTGAGTCCATGCGGTTTCCCTCCACGGCGTCCCCCATATGTACCATGGACACCTGGCCTCATCCCTTTGCCCAGCAGCTCCCGACCACCTTCTTCAAACCCCACTGACTTCTCTGCGCCCCTGGTTTTGGGCCTCCGCCACTAACCCACTTCCCCCCAGTCCCACTGCCTAGGGTCTCGGGCCACCTGCCTCACCTGCCTCGCCCGGGGCCACCCGGTTCCGCACGATCCGGCCACTACACCCCGCTTTTGCCCACCCGCCAGTTCAGGGACACTCACAATCTCAGCAAAGAGAAGAATTCCTTTGAGGGTGCGTGCGAAGTTGGTGCAGGCGGCCCAGCAGCCGGGGGCCGAGAAGCGCTCGGAATCCGCCATGGCGTGGGCCAGAGTCCCTAGGGGCGCGGATGATCTGCTCGCTTTCTCGCAGGTTCGAGGACACACTGCACACTCAGCCGTCTAGCCAGCCGTTTGGCCGGGGAGGGGGCCCAGGGCCCAAGAAGGGAGTGAATCACCACGCGGAACAGAAGCAGGCGGGGCCTTAGGGGGCCGGGCCAGGTGGCTGCCGCCCCGGAAGCCCCCTTGCCCCGCCTGCCTGCCGTGGATCGTCCCCACCCGTAGTACAGCTACTGGGCACCTCTTCTCCGGAGATGCCAGCCTTTCAGGCTTGGCACTTCAGGGTACCTTGAATGGTAATGGCGAGACCTTTCACTGTTTTAGAATACAAATGTACCCGAAGCTGCTACATCTCAGAACCGAGGGGAGCTTGCCTTTGGGAGGGAGTGACTTACTTTTCTTTGCTATAGGAAAAAAATAGTCAAGGTCCTATTGAAACTCAGATATGTTTCCAGAACTCGGAATATTTCAAATTTTGAAAAAAATTTCCCAGTGCATATATGATATATTACTTAACAGTCAGTGGGGAGTGAAGCTGCCCCATTTTTTTTAAGTTAATATTTCCTTCAAAGGTGTGAACATTCACAATAAGTGGAACAAGTTAGAACTGAAAATTGTGCCTCATAAAGTCAGGTCAGGTTTTGTAACCAAATGGTGTGCCAAATGGTGGGAAAACTATCCGTTTCCAGAGCTTTGGGGAATTCAGAACTGCAGATAAAAGATGGTGAATTGTGGAATAAAACTCTTAGCAGTGATGGGAATAAAACCTCTGGTGCACAGACCAAGAGAGAGCAGGGCCTGGTGAGCATCAAGCTGCTCTGTAAATGGAGGGAAACATCATCAATAATAGTGTCAGAACCCAGGGTCTGTCTGATTCTCTGTTCTGCAATCCTAGGGAAGTCCAGTTTTCTGGTTCTGAGGAGGAAGGCGATCAGTCCAGCCCTAGATGAAGAATGGAAAAGGATCATGGGTTTTATTACTAGGAGCTTGGCAAGATGAGGGGAAGGCTTCTGGAGTGCCAGGCTGGGTGACAAGGCTGACCACATTTGGAGAGTATGTTACCCTGAGCAAGTCATTTCCCCTGACTCACCCATTTCTACATGTGAGAGAGGCAGCTGGTTACAGGAATCTGGATCTCCCCTGAGATGTGCTGGGAACCACACTCTCTAGTCTGAACATTGGTTTTATTCCCATCTCATTTGAGGAGGCAAGGGTTGTGACTGGAAGGCCAGGATAGTTCAATCCAACAGTTTGCCTTCTCTCCATTTCCTAGCCCCAGGCCCTCAAAACCAAAGAAGGGGCTCCCCTCTTTCAGCCCAGTGAAAAAGTAATTGGATAGTGGAAGAGATGAAACATACTTTTACCCAGTGTTCCATGTGTGCTTTCCCACTCTGTGAAGACATGCTTGAGTTTCTAGAACATAACATACTTTGCTATGCATCAGGGCTTTTGCACTTGATGTTCCCGCTGCTGTCAATGCCCTTCCCCCAGACCTTTCTACATCTGGCTTCTGGTCATTCAGGTTCCAGCTCAAATGTTAGGTCTTTAAAGAGGCCAGCAGCCCTTCATAATTACCTTCCCCAACATAACCTCCTTACTGTCTTCATAACTCTCATTTCCTTCTTTTTTTTTCTGATTTGTTTATTTATAGAGAGGGGAAGGGAGGGAGAAAGAGAGAGAAATACTAATGTGTGGTTGCCTCTCACATGCCCCCCACCAGGGACCTGGCCCACAACCCTGGCATGTGCCCTAGACTGGGAATCAAAGCAGCAACCCTTTGGATCAGAGGTCAGTGCTCAATCCACTGAGTAACACCAGCCAGGGCTCACTTCCTTAGGATATTAGTAATTTTCGTATCTCTTCTGACACGTCTTGTCTTACCCTCAGTACATCAACTACACAAGGACAGAAATCTCTATGTTTTCCCCCCAGCATTTCCCTGGTGCCTATCACAGTGCAAGGTAAACAGTTGGAGTTGATTCATACTTCTCAAATGAAGGTGAGATTAAGGCTGGGGAATCAGGCCTTGATTAAATCTTGCTTCAACACCCCCACCTAGCTACATATACTCTTTGTGCCTCACTCCCCTCCTCTGTGAAATGGACATATCAAGATTATTTAATAGATGTGTAAGCAGATAGAAATACTGCAAGTGAAGCCTGTAGCAGGGATAAGGCCAAGTAAATGGTGGCTGGGGTTACTATTGTTAGTCTCCTGAACTGGGGCTCAGCAGTCCTTTCCTTACTTCTGTAGAGCCATACCTCTACCAAGCTCTGAGTCAGGGTTCACTTCTTCACCTCTTTTTTTTTAAAAAGATGTTATTTATTTATTTACTTTTAGAGATAGAGGAAGGGAGGGAGAAAGAGAGGGACAGAAACATGGATCAGTTGCTTCTCTTGCACCCACCCCCAACAGGGGTCAGCAAACCAGGCATGTGCCCTGGCTGGGAATCGAACCAGCCACCTCTTGGTTTGCAGGATGACGCCCAACCAACTGAGCCACACTGAGTTGGCTCACGTCTTTATACCCCAACTCCCAGCCTTTGCAGTCCTTCTCTCCTCCCCAGGGCTGCCCTGGATGCTCACACTCTGGTCCTTTAATTTCTCTCCCCACTCCTGGCCCCTCCCCACAGGAGTGAAAACTGCCCACTGACCACAGCTTCCCTTGTTGGGGAGATGAGGCCAAGTGTTCAGGATGTGGTGACAGCGAAGGTGACTGTACATTTCTGGCCTCAGACAGCACCAGTTTGGGGGCTACCCAGATTGGAGTCCTGCTGGCCATATAAGCCTGGGCTTTAGGGGCTCTGTTCCCAGGATGGAGGAAACTCTGGCCTCTCCCAGGACCAGGAACGCCCAGTGTGTGGCTTGCGCACACAAGCACGGCTGCAGTTTGTCACCATCTATGGAAGAGGGGGGAGCAGCCCAAAGGTTCTAACAGCTGTTTTTAGCCCAGCCCGCTGAGTCACACCTACCTGGCTCCACCCCAAAGGGCCCCAGGGCCCCAGCCTTTGCCCTGAGGGTGTCAGGCCGGAAGTAAGAGACCACAAGCTCCTGAAGAAGGAAGCTGCCCAGTTTCTAGCCTTCCTATCCAGCCACTGCCCAGGGTCTGGATGATTCAGGGCCAGGGCTGCGGGTATAACCGTTGTTCTCTCTCTGTAACAGGCCTCCCTCTGCATTCCTCACACACACAAAATAATTATCTGTGAGCCCTGCACACCTCCAAAAAAAAAGTGAAATTAATGACAGGGTAGAGAAGCAGGAGTTGTCAAAGAGTGGGGAGAAAGCATGCTGGACTGAAGACCAGCAGAAGCAAAGCCCCTCCAGGAGCATGAAAGAAACAGCATTTATTAGTGATTTCAAGAAGAGGCCCTCTTCAAAACAGGATTGACCCTCCCCCTCCTTTGCTGGGTGGACTTGGGAGCCCCACCCAGCCTAGAGTACCTTGGCAAGTCAAGACAGATCGGCAGATTTATTACCTCCCCACCCCGAAACGCCAGGCTGGCAAGTCTGGAAGGGCTGTGCCACTGACACCACGAGGGGAGTTTGGGCTGGTCGACTGTGCAGCAGGAGGGGGGACAAGGCCAAGTGGTGGTTCTGCTTGCAGTGCTAATGCATGGCTGATGGAGCAGGCCAGATTCAAGTGAGGCAGTACCAGGTGAACACGCAGCCATCAGATGTTAGCTGATGCTCAGTGCCTCCGCCTTCCAGCTGCCATCTCCAGAGCAAGCTGTGTGGCCCCTGGGACACCTAGGGCCTGGGAGAGCCGTTCCTGGCTAGGCACCAGCCAGGGTCCTGGGGAACCCGGGGATTGGTGGTCGGTGTCCCTGGGGCGGAGCTCAAGAGGAGGAACAGTGTGGCTGTCAGCTGCCCGCTCTGGGCTAGGTTCTGGGCTGCCCCAGGTCTTGGGTGTTGTGCAGGATTGAGGCTGCTGAAGCGGGGAGGCGCTGGCCCTAGATCTCATCACCTCTGGTCCCCCAGGATCTGGGCTGCAATCTGAGAATGGTAGGAATGCAGATTAGATTAAGTGACAGGGTAGGGTACAGAGAGCTGGGCCCCTGGGTGGCCAGAAGAATCTTAAGTGCTGAGGGAGACAGAGACAACACCCATGAGAAAAACCTTCCATTAAGGCCTGGATACACCCCCTCAGGAAACAATACCACCCTGCAAGACCCCCAATATCTCCTTTCCAGAAACCCAGCCCCTCCTGGATCCAGAACACACAACTCAGAAATCATTTCCCACAATACCCAAAGGAAATCAAACCCCTCCCATCTAAGTTCTCAAACTCTCCCCTTGCACAACCCACCTCCCTCTAATCCCTGCCCTTTCCCTTATGAATCCCTTGTCTTTAGGTACTAGACCACCTAGCCTCTACATCCCCATGCCATCCCCTACCTGTGAATACGACTCAGCCTTCTTCTCCAAGGTCCAGGACCCTTCCTTCCGAACACCTGCTTTTACTGCAGGCCCCTTCCTTCCTCCCCTTTCCCACTACTTCCCTTCTGAAATCCACCTTTATTCTCATCATGGGACCCTGCTAGCCCTGATGCCGCTTTTGAGAATGCCATGTCCCTCTCACAGACACCAAACTCCTGGCCCTCCCCACTGAGACCACCAAACCCATCTCACTCAGGACCCCAGACTTTCTCTACTCTGCAACCCTCTCCATCCTCTCAGAGATCCGAGACCCCTCTCCCCTGGGAAACCCACCGTCTCCTTTCCGAGGTCTTCCCTCCATCTCAGGCTTGCTGGGGTGGGTATCAAGAGGTCTGATCAGCACGAGGTGGAGCCGGGACCCACCTGTGCGAATTCGCTCCACAACCTGGGCATGGGTAAGGCCCTGAGTTGACTCTCCATTGACATGGAGCACAAGGTCACCGGGCTACAGGAGTACAAAGTGAGGGGTGTTTTAGGAAGGGCAAATTGAGAGCACCCCAACAAAGGATGAGGTTGGGGTAGCACCATGGAATGGAGGGTGCCTTATGGCTCACCTGCAAACGACCACAGCGCTGTGCCGGCCCGTCCTTCAGGAGCCCACGTATTGCCAGTGGAGTGTCTGTGCCTGCATCTCGGCCTCCACTTAGTGTGAGGCCAAAGCCTGCAGAACCACGAACCAGCTCCACACAGAACCGACTAGAGGCCTGAGGTGGCTTTGAAGCACAATGTGCCTTAAACTGAGTCACTTGGGATGGCGCCATGCATGTACCCAAGGTCTCTGACTGATGATGCTGGAGTAAGGACACAAGTGTACATACATTGCCAGTCTCTGGGCACATGGCCTCGATTAGGAGGACTAGGTGGTACCTGAGGCCGTTGTTCCATGAAAGTGGGATTAGGCAAGCGACTGTCCGTGACCTCTATGTCCGCAGAATCCAGCTCGTTAATGGCTGGGGGATGAAAGACGAAATCCAGGGTCCAACTGCATGTAAACTACCTAGGTCCTACCCCATGAGTTGTCATTCTAGCCTTATCTCATTAACTTGCCTCTAGATTGCACAGACAGAATCGCCCACCCATTCATTTAGTGAGGCTTTGCACACTGATATAACTGTCTTGATCCCGATTTCTTAAATAATAATCCTGGGCCCAGCTATTTGAATCATTCCCCATACCTTCCTACCTCCCTCCAATAACATGCAGACGCCAACCCCCAAATAAACCATAGGGCCACCTTGGAGGGTGCATAGCCAGGATTTGACCCCTGAACAATTCCAGGATCCACCCTTTTATAGCCTATAAATCTCAACCAATCCTGTCATTTCCAGCCCCACCCCAAGCATTTACAGGCTCTACCCTAAGCTAAGTGCCCTCCATTTGGAGCCTTCTTCACGAAGATGAGGATCCTCGTATCCTTAACTAATTTTCCAACACTCACCTACTGCAATAACCCTCCCAGTGTCACTTTCTAGAGGAATACGCTAGGATAACGATAAGTCTCGGCCACCTCAAATACCCCTCCCAACCCGGTCCTCCTAACCTAGCTGCACTACGACCCCGCCCCCCGGAAAGGCCCCGCCCTCAACACGCACCGTCCTTGGGACGCAGGCGCAATGTGGCACCCGCCCTGCGAACCAGCGCCGCCACGTCCGCCGCAGCCCGGGCCGCAAGGGGGCGCGCGTCCAGCCGCGACAGGAGCTGCCGGGCGCTGGGGCTGGCTCGCTGGGGAGCGCAGCGGCCTGCGCGGGAGGGGGCGGGGGAGAATAGGTCAGCACAGACCCCCCGAGCCTCGGTGCACCCCCAAACTCCTTTACGTCCGAAGACCTAGATGCTCCTCAAGGTCCCCGGAGCCCTCAGACCCTCCCTCGATAGTTCCGAGGAACAGTCGCTGACTGTCCCTCTCGTCTGCCGCTAGCCCCAGCCATCGCCTGTGCTCCCGTGGACCCACGCCGGCCTTCACGATATCCCTGGCAGCAGCTATTTGACCGCAGTATTCCTGGACACTCCGAAGACCTTGTGACTATCTCTGGAACTTTCCAACTGCCCCTTCGTCGCCCCTGATTCCAATCTCTTACCCCCGCAAATATCGGGAGGGTCCCCGATTTCCCCAGATGTCTCAGAGAACACGGTCTGCCCCCTGTGGCCCCGGGACTCACGACTCACCCTCCAGATGCCCTGGGCAATCCTCGTGGCCCACGCCGGGGCCCCAGATTGCCCTCCACTTATCCCCAGCGGCCCCCGCCTAAGCCCCTGGCATTCGCCGCAGACCGTGAAGTGCTCAGGCATCCCCAGTGACCCCAAGCAGACCCCTCCAGCACATCTCCCCGGAGACTCCTGAGAGCCCCCGGAGCTGGTGCGCAGCCCCGTGGCGCGGGTGCAGGTGCTGATAGGGGGCCTCGAACCCAGCCTGGGTCGCTTGGCCCCTGTCCGCAGCCGCCGCCGCCACCGCCGCCACCGCCGCCGCTGCCTGGGTACCAGGCTGCCTTGTTTACCACCTGTCTGAAGGGAACGGGAAGGAGCAGACAGGCGGGGCGAGGTGCGGTGGGGATGCGCCCATCTCACCCTCACCCCAGTACCTCCTCTGCTCCCCCTAGGGTCCGTGGTGCCCCCCGCACGCGGCTCCATGACCCAGAGTGGTCCGGGTGGACACACAGTCGCCAGCGACACGTTCTGAGCGCCCGCGGGCGCGCGCGCGCGCACTCACCTGGCTGCCAGCCCGGGCCTGGACGCCGTGAGGCCAGCCTGTTCCGTGCCGGACACCCCAGCCCGCGTGATGACCTACCTGGCGGCCTGCAAGGAGGCGTGGCTGTGGGCGCCAGCGCTTGGCCTCGCTCTGCCTCAGGGACGCCTCTGTCATCCCAGGACCCTGGACTAGGGTCCTCCTGCCATCCAGAGGACGTTGTTATTTCATGTGTGAAAAGGGGAAGTTGATTTCCAGAGACGTTAAGGGCCCTGCTTGAGCCCTGACACCTAAAAACGGGATGCAAAACCGGAACCCAAGTTATCTGGGAATTCTGTCGCCTCCAACAGACCTTTGCACATAGCAGACACTCATTAAATATGCCATGAGGATCTGCCTAAGCCAATCCCTACTGAGGATCTGGAAGAGTATGGGCGGCTGTGGAGGGGGGCCATCCTTGGAACCTTTGGGGCCTTGGGAGGGTGTATGGCCCTGAGCCTGATAGGGTTGGAGGCTCAAAAACCGGGGAAGGATAGGCTCCATGGAGAGTGCAGAGACAGTAGTAGGGTCCTGGACTTGAGGAGGCTTTGAAGGCACCTGGGTTGCAGGGGATACCAACCAATGAGAAGGGAGAAATGAAGCCCTTCCTAAGTTTGAGAAGCTGGAGGTGGGATCTGGGGACATAGGCCCAAGGGGAGAGCACCTGTGCATAGTACTACTGTAGTGGAGGGAGGAATGAGGACCAGTGAGAGATGGCCTGTGGCCAACACTTTGTGGAGAAAGATACTGAGGGCTAAAGGGGCTCAGGCACCTGCCCAGAGCCCAGCAGCCAATTGACAACAGTACTGGTGTCAGGCAGCTAGCTCATCCCCAACATTCACTTGGTCCATGACTATTTCAATGTGGGCCGTGGACATACTATGTCCTGATGTCCATTATGGCTGGCTGGGCAACCTCTCTTATCTACCTGTCAGGGTCCCACTGTTGTCATAGGTGAAAGGGATTGAAGGTCTCTGTTTTCATTCCTCCTACAGTCCCCTGCCTCTCCCGCCTCTGACATGGCCTTGTCTGTGGAGGTACATACTGGACCTTCTTCACTGCTCCACCTCATTCTTGAGACTTCAAGCATTGCAGATGGAGGGAGCAGCTTCCGTTCCTGGGCTTGGGGTTTTCAGAACTGATGGACGGGGTAGGGAGGTGCTTACAGATTGGGGAACAAGAGACTGAGGTCCTGCAGATCCCTGATGGGCGGACTTGCAGACCGCAGCATTATTGAAGGGCCAGAATGCATGGATGGTGAGGGGAGGCTGCCAAGCACTGAGAAGCCTCAACGCTTCAGAAAAAGGACAAGGAGCTTGACAACTGGATGGATGCTCAAGGGTCTGCAGGTGGGGAATTTTTTCCAGAATGAGAAATGCTTCGTCCTGGAAGATTCTGTGAAGCAATAGGATGTTCAAGGACAGCCTCTAGGATAAATTGTAGGCGCATGAGAGGGGATTCTCTGAGAGCCAGGTCAGAAGGGATGCAAATCTGGGGACAGTAGCAAGAATTGGGGTTGAGGTAGCAGTGCTGGTCACTGAGAATGCTGGCAGGGTTGGGGAATCCAGACAGAAAGCAGAGCGAGGCCAAGCGCTGGCGCCCACAGCCACGCCTCCTTGCAGGCCGCCAGGTAGGTCATCACGCGGGCTGGGGTGTCCGGCACGGAACAGGCTGGCCTCACGGCGTCCAGGCCCGGGCTGGCAGCCAGGTGAGTGCGCGCGCGCGCGCCCGCGGGCGCTCAGAACGTGTCGCTGGCGACTGTGTGTCCACCCGGACCACTCTGGGTCATGGAGCCGCGTGCGGGGGGGCACCACGGACCCTAGGGGGGAGCAGAGGAGGTACTGGGGTGAGGGTGAGATGGGCGCATCCCCACCGCACCTCGCCCCGCCTGTCTGCTCCTTCCCGTTCCCTTCAGACAGGTGGTAAACAAGGCAGCCTGGTACCCAGGCAGCGGCGGCGGTGGCGGCGGCGGCTGCGGACAGGGGCCAAGCGACCCAGGCTGGGTTCGAGGCCCCCTATCAGCACCTGCACCCGCGCCACGGGGCTGCGCACCAGCTCCGGGGGCTCTCAGGAGTCTCCGGGGAGATGTGCTGGAGGGGTCTGCTTGGGGTCACTGGGGATGCCTGAGCACTTCACGGTCTGCGGCGAATGCCAGGGGCTTAGGCGGGGGCCGCTGGGGATAAGTGGAGGGCAATCTGGGGCCCCGGCGTGGGCCACGAGGATTGCCCAGGGCATCTGGAGGGTGAGTCGTGAGTCCCGGGGCCACAGGGGGCAGACCGTGTTCTCTGAGACATCTGGGGAAATCGGGGGACTCTCCCGATATTTGCGGGGGTAAGAGATTGGAATCAGGGGCGACGAAGGGGCAGTTGGAAAGTTCCAGAGATAGTCACAAGGTCTTCGGAGTGTCCAGGAATACTGCGGTCAAATAGCTGCTGCCAGGGATATCGTGAAGGCCGGCGTGGGTCCACGGGAGCACAGGCGATGGCTGGGGCTAGCGGCAGACGAGAGGGACAGTCAGCGACTGTTCCTCGGAACTATCGAGGGAGGGTCTGAGGGCTCCGGGGACCTTGAGGAGCATCTAGGTCTTCGGACGTAAAGGAGTTTGGGGGTGCACCGAGGCTCGGGGGGTCTGTGCTGACCTATTCTCCCCCGCCCCCTCCCGCGCAGGCCGCTGCGCTCCCCAGCGAGCCAGCCCCAGCGCCCGGCAGCTCCTGTCGCGGCTGGACGCGCGCCCCCTTGCGGCCCGGGCTGCGGCGGACGTGGCGGCGCTGGTTCGCAGGGCGGGTGCCACATTGCGCCTGCGTCCCAAGGACGAGTCCTAGTTCCGTACTGGACTACGAGTATCTACAGGAGGTCTATTTTATTAACATTACCAGAGCTTGTCGAGTATTAAATCTGGCACCAGTAGGGGTCATTGACATGTGTATTATTTATGCTATTTGTTTAGCTTTACATCTTTATGCTTATTATTGTACACAACTGGCATTCACAGATTTTTTAAATTATCTTGCCCGCACTTCCCACAGTAGAACACAGTCACGTGCACAAAGTAGACAATCAATAAATGCCTGTGAAACACCTACACGAAGGAGCAAATACCTGGCAAGAATGAGTCCACTTCCTACCACTCCTACCTTCCTGAAAAATTACATTTCCCCGTGTGCTTGGCGAGAGGCGCTTCTATGAAGTTAAAGAGCAACACTTCCCACGGCCAGGTATCCGCCCACGTCTGTCAGATGCCGCAGTGTTTTGTGGGAAAAGTAGTTCTAGAGGTCGTCCTTCGGTCCCGGCAAACTCAGCCCAAACTAAACTTCCCAGCAAGCCTCGCACTCGCCTGGGAAGAGCTGCAAGATGGCGGACCCCGAAGAGGGTGTTTTGCGGTCGGCTGGACACTCCACTGCCCCAATTTCATTCAGCTTCAGTCGCACGACCGCCCGAAAACGGCTGACAGACCGGGGAGACGGCGTGGGTGCGGCTCCAGAAGAGAAGGATTTCTTGAAGACCGTGGAAGGGAGAAAATTGCAGAGGTGATGCTCTGGGTCTTTCATCCCTTGGAAATAGGTGCGGTGGGTGCAATCAGAATTGATTGTCTTGGTGACAGTGGCCTGGAAAGCCTATCTGAGGAAACTCATGGAGGCGAGCAGGCGGGAGTTTGTAGGACAGCTGAAGAAATTGAGACTGATGGCCGTGGGGATTGACAAGAGAATACATCCTGAGAGGCAGTGTCTTTAGGATTTGGGAACCCTGAGGTGTATGCGTTCTGAGAAAGAAAGGAGAGAATGACAGGACCCTTAATGTCTCAACTGAAGTGGTGGGGCTTCTCCGGTATGGGAAATGGGATGGAGTGGCAGATCGAGGTTGGGGGAGGCCATCATCAGCTTAATTCGGAAAGGAGACGGAGTAGTATGGTCAGTGGGTGCTGAGCCACACACACCCCCACCCCCGCTTAATTCTGGGGGTCTGAGGAAAGGAGAGACTTCACGAAGAGAATCTACCATCAGGAGGTTGGTGTGGAGCCTGGAACTAGAAAGAGTCTGGACTTAAGGTGGTGATTTGTGGGTCATTGTGGAAGCCATAGACTGAGGACCGATTCCTCAAAGGCACAATTAAGAGTTGGGGGTAGAGGAGGGAATCCAAAGAAGGTACCATCAGAGACATAACTGGAGAACCAGACAGAACGGAGGGAGGGCGTGGTTTGTGGGACAGGGTGGGGGTGAGTTTGGCTCTTGTATTTTCTCTGAACGAAGGGGTGTGGTTCAGCACCCACTGACCATACTACTCTTCAGACCTCATTCCTCTGTGTCCGTATCAGTGTGAATCCCTCAGAAGCCCCCAAGGAACTCGTCATCCCTTTAATTCAGAATAGCTCTCGAAGACAGCCACCAACCCAGGCCCCTGGCCCATCCACAGATGTGAAAGCCACAACAGATGGGATACTTTCCCAGGCTGTAAAGGAGCTCATTGAGGGTGAGTGATCCCCCTTTGTCTTGCTCTGGTGAAGGAGTGGGAGAAAAGTAGAAGGATATGGTGGGATCTTATTGTTCACTCCCATTCTTCCTTAGAATCCAAGAAGTCTCTGGAGGAGAGAGAGAATGCAGGTGTTGACCCCACGCTCGCTATCCCTATGATCCAGAAAAAATGTACCCCCAACGAGGAAGGGTCAGACAGCGAACCCCAGGCTGAGACAGTGAGCTGGCCTCTCACCCCCTTCTATCCCAGCCTCTCTTTTCCATGTCTGCCAGCCTTGCCTCCCTGTACAAATCAAGGAAAGTCTGCGTGTACTACAGGCCTGCTGCCTATTCCTTTCTCCTTCTATCCTTTGGAGTGTTGGAGAACACCAAGGAGACCGAACATGAAGGAGTGGAATGAGTGATAGGGATGGGTAGTAGATGAGGTCAGAAGTGGGGATTAAACCAGGTAGGGCCTTGTGGGGCATGGTGAGGACTTTGGATTTTACTGTGAATGAGATGAGAGCCGTGAGAGGGCTCTGAGCATAGAAGGGACAAGACTTATGATTTGACAGGATTTCTCTGGCGCTTGTGAGCAGAACAGACTCATAAGCAGGAACGGAAGCAAGGAGACCAGTAGTCTGGGCTAGAGATGATGGAGACTGAGACCAGAGCAGTAGGAGTGAGACCTGGAAGGTCAGGTAGGGTTTAGTGAGAAAGGGAAGAGCAGGATGAGTACTCCTAATGGCAGCAACAACCCAGGCAATGGCATGGTGGCAGGAAATCGATGTGATATATCTCTAATAGTGAGGGAACTTATGGGGTGTCTGGAGTGAGTATCAAGAATTGAGCAGGTGATGATGGGAGGTGAGAACATGAGGTGAGGGTTATGTCTACAAGGTTTTTGCCTTTCATAGCTGTGGACTCAGTCTTTTACCTCTTCGTTCAGTCTTTCATAGCTGCAGACTCAGTCTTTTACCTCTTTGTTCACAATTTTTTTTATTTTACTTATTTATCTTTAGAAGGGAAGGGAAGGAGAGAGGGAGAGAAACATCAATGTATGGTTGCCTCTTGTGTGTCCCCTGCTGGGAACTGGCCTGCAACCCAGGCATGTGCCCTGACTGGGAATTGAACCATGTTCCTTTAGTTCCCAGGCTCGTGCTCAATCCACTGAGCTACACCAGCCAGGGCACAATTTGTTTTTAAATTTTTTATTTTTACACAGAGGGGAAGGGAGGAAGAGAGGGAGAGAAACATCAATGTGTGGTTGCCTCTCCTGTGCCCCAACTGGGGACCTGGCCTGCAACCCAGGCATGTGCCCTGACTGAGAATCAAACCAGCAACCCTTTGGTTCACAGGCCAGCACTCAATCTACTGAACCACACCAGCCAGGACCACAATTTTTTTTTTTGGAGATGCTTCTTTGGGAAGCATCTTTGGACCTAGTTTTCTTACAGCCCCAGACCACCATCTCTTTTGACTGAACAGTTCTCATTAGCCTTCAGATGTTCTCTGGTTTCTTTCATCATAAAAAAGAAAAAATACTTTTACTTCCCTCTCCATTCTGTTCTACCTTTGGCCTCATTTTTCTCATTTTTCCTCCTCTTGCAGCATTCCACATCCCAATTGATCACGGTTTCATCCATCCTTCCTCTCAGCCAATTTTTCTTAAAAGGTACAAAAGGGAGAAAAAATTTAAATTCAAAAAAGAAAAAAAGAACACCTTTGACTCCCTCTTTATTTTCTACCCCATAAACTGGTGGCAGCATTCTGTCATGTCCCTTTCCAAAATACATGTAGAATCTGACCACTCTTCCCCATCACTACCACCAGCCAGCATGCTGGTCTGAACCACTAACATGTCTCATCCGGACTATTACAGTTTCTTACTTACTTTCTTTCTTACTCCTTGTGGCTGCCACCCTCTTGTGACACCTGCCAAGCTCTCCTAATTAATTTCTTTTTTTAATTGTTTTATTTTATTTTTTTAGTTTAATTGTTGTTCAAGTACAGTTTTCTGTTTTTTACTCCCATCCCAGCCCACTCCCCTCCTAATTAATTTCTTAATCACTTCTCTGCCTCCACATCTCTGTTTCAGTCAGGTTGACTTTCATGATGCTTTTCACACATACCAGATCTTCCCCTGCCTCAGGGCCTTTGCGCTTAACTGTTCTCTCTGCTCGAAACACTCTTTCTTATATCCTCATGGCTCTCTGCCATCTCATTCTCGTCTCTGCGCAAATATCAACTCAGTGACAATGCATTCTTCATCTTTCTCATCTCCTTAACCTGCTTAATTTTCCTTCATATAACGTATTGCAACCTGACATGTCATGTTTTATGTATTTTATGTATTCTGTGTCCTACAACTGGAACGTAAACCCTACAGGGGCAGGATTTTTTTGTCTCTTTTGTTCACGACTTTATCCCTAGTACCTAAAACAGTACCTGGTACTGGGCACCTTGTAAGCATTTGAAAGACTGACCTGGAATATTAAAGGAGGGATGGCAAGAGGAAATCCCTTGCCATCCCTTGAATCCTGACTGGTGTGGCTTAGTTGGTTTGGCACTGCCTCTCAAACCCCGAAAGGTCGCTGGTTCAGTTCCTCATTAGAGTACATGCCCAGGTTGTGGGTTCAGTCCCTGTTCAGGGCACATGCCAATCAATATTTCTCTCTCATATCAATGTTTCTCTCCCACATTGATATTTTTCTCCCTCTCTTCTTCCCTTCCCCTCTCTCTAAAAATAAATAGGTAAAATATTTTATTTATAAAAGCCAACTTGAACTGACTAGAAAAGAAGCATTGAGGGTCACCAATAGGTGATAGCAAATTCATGTCAGAGGGCTTATGATAAGCAGAGCCTGACTGTCGTTCCTCCACCTGAACCCACAGGTGCCCAAGGAGGCCGATTACGAGGCAGTCCCTGTGGAGGCGTATGGACTGGCCATGTTGCGGGGCATGGGCTGGAAACCTGGCCAAGGCATCGGCCGGACCTTCAGTCAGTGAGTTCTGGGGCAGGGCGGTGGGGACAACAGACAGGGCAATGAATGAGACCCCTGTGGTTATCGTCCATCCAGAACCATCTAGGCATGGGACGGGCACGTTACCATCGTAACCAATTCAGTAGTCTTTTCCACTGCTGTTTCAAATTCCTGTTTGCCCTTTGAAACTCCATAATGGGATTTCATTTATGGAAAGATTGCCTGTCTGGGCATCGGCTTCCCTATGTGAAAAATGGGGGCTCCTTTCCTCCCAGAGCAGGCCCACATTTTTCCTTCCCCCCCTTCATCTCCCAGGTGCGTTACCTTTAGCTTCTGTCTCCTAACAATGTCCCCAGCTTTAGTAAGTGTACATCAAAATTTTTAAAATGAGGATAATAACAGCATTGACTTCCCAGGTCTGTTGTGATAGTTCAGTAAAATTATACATGTAAAATACTCACAGTAGATGCTGACCCCAAATAAGCATGGATAGACATTTGTTATTATCACACAGACTTATAATCCCTTCTCTACAGTTCTAAACGCCAAAGAATTCTGAAAACCAGTTTTTTTCATAAATCTTTTGGCAGTGAAATGTGACCGGAATTAACATAGAGTGTTTTATGGTGTGTTTCACCTGCTAGGTGTGAATATCTATGGTTTTCCCTGTACAAATAGTATATTTGGTTACACTATATATCTTATGTAATGGATGGCATACATAGCACATTATTATGTTGAACCGAATGAAATTGCCATTTCTGTAGGTCAAAAGCAGTCCTGACATGAGATGGGGGAGTATATTCTTAAAAATACAGAAAGGGTGGGATCTGGGTAGGGGTTGGGGGGTAGAGCATTGAAGACTGTAACATCCCCCAACAAGCTCATATTCTGTGCTCACTGCAGAGTGGTGAAGCCTCGTGTCAACTCACTGAGGCCCAAAGGGTTAGGGCTGGGCGCCAGCCTGACTGAGGTCCAGGCCGTGGCCTCCAGCGGTCCCCACCGCCTGCCAAAGCCAGATGAGGAGCAAGAGAAAGATAAGGAAGCCCAGCGTCAAGGACTGGTTCCCGGAGGAGCTGTGGTGGTTCTTTCTGGCCCTTACCGAGGCCTCTATGGGAAGGTAAGGAACCAAGATATGCTGGGAGCCCAAGGCAGACAGCAGGAAAGATTGCTGTGAGGCTCAGAACTAAGAAGAATTGGGTTTGGGCTAGAAAGCCTGGAAGCCCTTGTCTTTTAGGCCTTCCTGGCTCATTGCCTCATTTGCTAACTCAGGACCACTTGCTGGGTTTTTCTGAGCCTCAGTTTCTAACTAAAGGAGAGAGAATACTATATGCCACAAGTGCCCTGAGGATTAAATGCTTCAAGTATGTCTAAGAACCACAGTCTGGTAGGGGTGATAGAAGGACTCATCCCAGTCTCAGACCTCAGGGATCCAATTCAGCTGGGAGAGACACAGTGATCAAGCCTGGGCTTCATTCTCGGGGGTCACAGTCTGCTGCAGAAGACACAGGGGTCAGGCCAATTAGAGGTAGGGGTGGACAGCTTGGTCCTAGAAATGTGGGTCGAGTCAGTTCAACCTTTGCCTAACTTCTTCCTCTCAACACTTCAGGTGGAAGGCCTCGACCCTGACAATGTTAGGGCTATGGTTCGTTTGGCTGTGGGGAGCCGCATGGTAACTGTTAGTGAGTACTGCCTACAGCCTGTCTCCCAGAAGGAATTTGACAAGAACTCCTCAGATCTCAGTAAGTGAGCCTCTTACCTAGCTGTGGGAATTGGAGAAGCATCCCAGAGGGTGGTAGGGCCTGTCTCGGGCAGGTGTTAGATCTGCAGAGGGGAGGGGCAGCCAGGTAGGCCTGGCAGGTATGCTTGGTCAGAGGTCAGGAGATGAGAATGGAGAGAGTGCTTTCTTCAGTTTGATTGAAGAAAGGTTGACCTAGTAACCCCAGGTCTCTAGCCTCTTTCCGAAGGAGAAGAAACAAGCGTGCAAACTAGTTTCTACCCCTGGAGGTCTTTGTCTATTTTAGGGTGATGAACCTCTCTTTTGCTAGGGAGTGAGAACAGCTAGGACTAAGGCTGAACAGGGGAGGGAGGCATTTTAGGCATGTTGGTAGAATGGGCAGTTTAGCAGGTGGGAGCAAGTGGAGTTCTCCAGGACGCCTAGCCCGCGCTAAGCAGTTGACTCAGGTAGGCACTGTCAGCACAGGCTGGGGCGATAGTAAAAGGAAGACTTCCTGAAGGAGGCCACAGCAGTTGAGAGGAAGGGGAGACCATTCCAACAGTCCAGGCAAAGGCATGATGGTAAGAGGGCACACTTTGGTGGATGAGAGGTGGCCCGAGGCTGAGGTGTGGCCTGGAAGGAAAGATAGTGAGACACTGAAGCTCTTTCCTGGTTCTCCTCACACCCTCTTGAATAGGCCAGGTGAGCAAAACTTATCCAGGTCAAAAGAATGGAACACCCTCGTCGTCGTCACTGAAGGCCTTCCAGAATCAGGACCCCCTCACCCGGCGGGGAACAGAAGAGAGGAAGCGGAAACACCTTCCAGACCGGTGGGGCCCTGGGCATCTTGGATGGCAGAAAGAAGATGGGGGAGGGTGGGGAGGCTCCACAGTCAGAGAAGGCTTCTGGGGCAAGGCAGATGCATAGAAGGAAACTCGAAACTGCAGTGTGGGAGGGTTTTATAGCATCAACAAAATTGAGGTGACCAGAATGCACATCCAGCTGAGCTTGGTGTCTGCCCCATCTCCACAGGCAGGACAGGCCTCCATCCAAGAGTGAGAAAGTGGCCTCCAGGAGACAGCACTGGTTGCACAGGGACCTGCGTGTGCGGTTTGTGGATAAACTGCACAAGGGCGGGCGGTATTACAACACCAAGGTGGGTACCCCACAGCCTAGGTTTGCTTCGTCCCCCAGGGATTGAGCCTCTTTCACTGTCTGACATTCTCTCCTCCCCTGACCCTTTCCCCAGATGACAATCGAAGATGTCGTCAGCCCAGATACTTGTGTATGTCGGACAGATGAAGGCCAGGTCCTGGAAGGTGAGCGCACGGGATGGCCACTGGGTTGTTATCATCCTAGAGGCTGATCAAGAAGGCTGTCTGCCGTAGCTGGGTGTTTCAGTTGATTGGAGCATCGTCCCATACACCAAACAGAAAGATTGTGCATTTGATTCCCAGTCAGGGCACATACCTAGGTTGCAGGTTCAATCCCCAGTCGAGGCACTTATAGGAGACAACTGATTGATGTTTCTCTCTCACATCGATGTTTCTCTTTCTCTCCCTCTCACCCCTCCCTCCCTCCCTCCCTCCCTTTCTCTGTAAAAATCAGTAAAAACATATCCTCAGGTGAAATTTTTTTTTAGAAAGGCTGTCTTAGGCCAAGAGCCTGCCAAGGCAAAGGCTGGGAGATGGGGCAGAGTTAAGGTTTTTTGCAAGGCCCAGCATCCTAACACAAATTAGACACTTATCTGAGCCTCACTTTCCACATTTGCAAAATTAGTATGGAAATGACCTGTTTCTCCTATTGTGACTGGTGCCCTATTGGGGTGTGTATTGAGCTCCTCTTACAGGGCAGGGCTTACAACATGGTCACAGTAGGCAGCGTCTGTTGTCACCACCACCCATCACCATAATGCGTAAATGCCTCCTTTAGAACAACTATTGCTAGGAACTGTTCCTTAGGTTTCCTCATCTATGAAATGGGGTGGTGGGACTCCCATCCGTCAGTAGGGTACAGCATGGCCGCAGGGAATACAGAAAAGGCCCTTCTGACAAGACTGTGGCTGGGCCGGCCCTTGGCGGCAGACCTCACTCCCCTCTCCTTCTCTGTAGGTGTCAGGGAAAACATGCTGGAGACCCTCATCCCCAAGGTCCAGGGCAAACAGGTGATGATAGTGCTGGGACCACAGGCTGGAAGGGTGAGTCTCAGACCTGGGAATGGGGGTGGGAGCATGCAGGGGATGTGCTGGGGTCAGGGTTGGCCTAGCTGACTCTGCCTGTCCGTATTCTAGGTGGGCCGTCTGCTGGGCTGGAACAGAGAGCAGAGCCAGGCTGTGGTGCAGCTGCAGAGAGAGAATCGGCTGGTAGAGCTTCACTATGATGCTGTCTGCGAGTACAGGGGCCCCAGTGACTCAGACGAAGACTGAGCCATGGACTCATTCCATTCCCCCAGGCAGTTACCTGTTCTGTACAGTTTGAAAAGCCTACCTTTGTGAAGGTGGGGAGGCCATTGTCCAGCCTGTACTTGGAGTGCAGCCCTGGGACAGGGACAGGACACAAAATGGATAGACCAGAGGGAAGCTGGAAACAAACCTAGTACTTACCAGCAGTTAGTATAAAATAAAAACCATTTCAAATACTTAGTAAAATAAAGAGCTCATAAATGGTGTGCTGAGCTGTGAGTGGAGGTGAGAGCCACGCTGAGGTGGGAACCATTTCATTTTTCAACCCCATTGCCCTGCTTGGGCTGCCACACAGTTTAAAGGGTCCATCCATCCGGATGGCTCAGTTGGTTGGAGTGTTGTCCCATATACCAAAAGGTTGCTGGTTCGATTTCTAGTGAAGGCACATGCCTAGATTGTGGGTTTGATACCCAGTCAGGGCACATACAGGAAGCAACTGATCAATATTTCTCTCACATCAATGTTCCTTTCTGTCTCTGTCTCCCCACCCCTTCCTTTTTCTCAAATCAGTTAACATATCCTCAGGTGCAGGTGAAGATTTAAAAAAAAAAGAAAGGATCCATGCCCTGACTGGTGTGGCTCAGTGGATTGAGTGCCAACCTGCAAACCAAGGGGTTGCTGGTTTGATTCCCAGTCAGGGTGCATGCCTGGGTTGTGTGCCAGGTCCCCAGTAGGGGGTGCATTAGAGGCAGCCACACATTGATGTTTCTCTTCCTCTCCCTCTCTCTAAAAATAAATAAGTAAATCTTTAAAATAAAAATCCCTGGCTGGTATGGCTCAGTGGACTGGGCACAGGCCTGTGAAGCAAAGGGCTGCAGGTTCGATTCCCAGTCAGAGCAGATGCCTGGGTTGCGGGCCCGGGTCCTCAGTGAGGGGTGTGTGAGAGGTAAGCACACATTGATGTTTCTCTCCCTCTCTTACCTTCTCCTCTCTCTAAAAATAAATTTTTAAAAATATCCATTTGGTAACAAGCTCACTTGGAACACAGAAGCTATGAAATTCGTTCCCATAAGCAGATAATACAGAGTCTGGAACATGTCTGGACAACTTTCTAAGCAAGAGTCCTAATAGTGACTCTGCTTCTAGTCTTGGTGCAACACAGATGCCCAGATGATAACTTGAGCCAGTGATAGGAGTCAAGAGGAAGGGAAGCATCTACCCATGAATGGCATGTGTTAGCACCACCTTCCAGGGAAGCCAGTGAATCTCATGGGCCCTATTTTAGTCCCAAAACTTGGGCGTGAGGGTAAGAAACTTTTGTCTCGAGTAGAATTTCTCTGGTTGCTCCAGGTAACTGGATCCTAAAAAGATTGCCAAAGACAAAGAACCTTCAAACTTTTCTGTTTAGTGGTGTGGGATACAAAATCAGCAAGGGAAGTCAGCTCTAGGCACAGTTGTTTCTGAATCATCCCCAGTCACTAAGTTAAGTTGTTGATGTAATAAGTACAATTTGAGTTAGATCTAGGCCACTGGTAATAAAGTCCAAATGGGTTAGAAGGTGGTACAGTGCTGAAGAATTTAAACACCCCTAGAGCAGGATAGTAAAGGTAAGCTTCCGTCCCCACCACCAAGCAGATGCAGACTGCTGTTTAGAGCCTAAATGAGCTGGCCACATCCATGGCCATGTGCTCCTAAAAAAACAGATGACTAGAAAACCTTCCAATGTTTACCAACTCCAGCATGAACTACACTTGCGCAGACTGATTTACTTTTTCATCACCCCTAATTAATTCCAGAACGCATATGTGTTTTCAAGATTGTCCAAACAAGGTTGTTCAGGCAGATAGGGACAAACCTGTACTCCCAGTTCCTCCAGTTCACCAGTCATCGTGATTGCACACTACCCTTTGAATTCCATGTTTGGTTGTATTTTAATCCTGGGGGGAAAGGTTGGGATTCTAGAAGTTCCCAATTGGGCATGTTCAGTAGTCAGCTTCCTACACTGTATGTGCTTCACCCAGTCAAGAAGGCCTACTCCTTTCTCCAAATCATAATAAGTCCATCTTGTTAACACTCTTGAGAAGGGCTCAGATCTCCCAGGGGGAGGGCACTGGTCCCCTGTGTCTGCCCTGCAACATGGCATGACCTGGCAGTTTTGGACAATCCCTTCATCTCCTCCATGCACCATGATACTTAAAATACATCTTTCATCAGATTCTGATTTCCCAGAATTAATGTCTCTTCACAGCCTGTTTTTTAAAATGGCCTGAAGTTCTTGAATACTGTCCCATGTCCGGAACACTGAGCCCTAGGCAGAGTGCCTAGTCCCCTCTGACAGACCATAGGGCCTTTTTGTGCTTCCCCTGACAGGATCCCTCTTGGTCCTTCAGTTTGAAGACAGAGCTCGTTTACATTCTGAGAAGTGTGGACAATATTAGGTGCCGTTCCCAATCTGCCCCTTGTTTATTGTGCACAGACTTGTTTCTTAAGACCCTTTGAGTCTGCACCGTTCTCTCTTGGCCTGCTGCTTGATGTTTGCCTGCTGCCAGGGTTGCCCCTTGGGCAATAGTTACTGTAGCAACAGTTTCCATGAGTCTTTGAATTCTCCACGAACCACTCACAAGGTGGGGACTGTGATCCATACAATCAGTCCAGACCGGATTCTTCGATATTACAGGGACTGAGCAAGATGTTGGTGAAGAAGTATCTGCCTCTTCTGCCAAGTCCCAAAAGTTTCCCTGGTGGCATGCTGCCTCTGTTGAAAACCGTGCAGACACTGACCCAGGAATTTGTGGCAGCAAACTCAAAAAGCAGCTTCTTTGGCCCTGACCAATGTGGCTCAGTTGGTTGGGCATCATTCCATGAAGTGAAATGTCGCTGGTTCAATTCCCAATCAGCGCGCATGCCTGGGTAATGGGTTTGGTCCCTAGTTGAGGTGCATGTGAGAGGCAATCAACTGATGCTTCTCTCTTGCAACAATGTTCTTTCCCTCTCTTTCTCCCTGCATTTCCCTCTCTTTAAAAGAAATTTTTAAAAAGAAGTAGCTTTTCTGCCTTTCATAGAGAAGTAAATTATTTGGGTGTTTGGGAGTGCCTTCTGTGGCTGAGCTTCATGGGTTATATAGAGGTAGACTCTTCTGACATGCCTTCTTCAGCCTGGGTATGCTCCTCTCCACTTCCATATTGAGGCCTCTTGATCTCCATGTCTGTAGCACCACACAGAGGGATAAGTACCTGACACCTTAGAAAGCTACATGAAGCGGGTCTTCACCAAGTTTATTCAACAAGCATCTGTTGATCCTCTACTGTATACCAGGTACTGTTCTGCATCTAGGGATACAATACAAAGTAAATGATTTCATCCAACAAATATTGAGTCCCTACTATATGCCAGGCATGAATCTATGTACTGGGGGTACAGCCATGAACAAAGAAAAGATCTTTGTCCTTGTGGACCTGACATTCCAGTAGGGCTGAGAGATGATGAGTGATAAGCATAAGAAGGAAATTATTCGGGTGATAAGAACCATAGGGAAAAAGAACAGCACGATAAAGGGGATCTATGGTGGGAAGATGGCAGGATTCATAGGATGACCAGGGAAGGCTTTACTACAGAGGTAACACTGAGCAAAGAGAAGAAGGAAGTGAGGGAGCATAATGCAGCTATCTGGAGAATGAGTGGTCCAGGAAAGGCAAACAGTGAACATGCTGTGTGGTGAGATCATTGCTGGTGTACTAGGGGGACAGTGAAGAGTCCAGTGTGGCCACAGGGAAGGAAATGAGGGAGACAGAGGTAGGTCAGGTCAGATAGGCAGTGCAGTGCTTTGAGGGACACACACACTTTCACGGCCACACTTAGTACACCTGCCCCTTCAGTGCTTTGGTCAGCCAGGCTGATATTTGCTTTTTGGAACTGATTCTCCCACTTGCTGCCCAGTAAGTGTATTAGCCTCAGTCTTGGGAAGTATCTGCCTTCTCAGTCTTCAGAGGGGTCTTTGGTCCCTGGCTTCCACTCACCCCTGGTCTTTTACCACTTCTTTGGGAGAGTTATCATTGCCTGTAGATCACCAGACACCAGCAGAGAAAGGGGAGAAGCACTACATGTGTCCTCCAGTTTCCTTACAGCATCTCAGTGAGAGAACTAAATGCCACGACTAATTTTGTTTTTTGCTCACTAATCTTTTGGGAGTTCTGATTGTCCTCATAACATCATCCCATCTGGTAATAGCTGTTCATATTTGGGGCCCTAAGAGATTATTTTTCATGCCTTCTATCAGAAACATCACAGAGTGATATGGACACGGAAAGAGATGTTGGTGGCCTGTGCAGGCAGAAGAGGATTGTAGTATTTCTAAAACAAACAAACAAACAAACATGTATATACCTGTGAAACCATCACCACAATCACGACAGTGAACATATCTTTACCTGCAGAAGTTTCCTCTGCCCCCTGATAATCCCTTCTTTCTGCCCTGCTCTTATCCCCAAGCAACCACTGATCTGTTTCTGTCATTATAGTTTGCAGTTTCTAGAGTTTTCCATAAATGAATCATTGAATATGTACTCTTTTCTGTGTGACATGCTTTACAAAATTATCAGAGATTCATCCATGTAGTGCCATGTATATTCACACAGCATAGAATCCACCTCTTTATACAATTCAGTAGTTTTAGTGCACTCAGAAGGTTGTATAACATCACCAATATACACTGCCAGAACATTTCATCACCTCTAAAAACAAACCCCATACCAATTAGTACTCACTTTCTGTTTTCTCCTCCCCAAGGCCCCTGGCAACTACTCAAATACTTTCTATCTCTACAGACTTGCTTATTCTGAGTATTTCATAAAAGGAATCACAACCATACAATATGTGGCCTTTTGTGTCTGGCTTTCTTCATTCACTATGTTTTCAAGGTTGGTGCATGTTATAGTATGTGTCAGTACTTCATTCCTTTTGTGGTTTAATAATATTCCATTGTATAGATATACCACCTTTTGTTTATTCATTCATCTGTTGATGGGGATTAGTCTTTGTATGGACATATACTTCTTTTTCTTGTGGGTACATGCCTAGAAGTAGAATAGCTGGATCATATAATAACTATACTATGTTTAATATTTTAAGAAACTGCCAATATCCCAAATGTCCAGCACAATGTGGTATATAGTAAGCTTTCTATGAATAATTGCTGTATAAAGAATAATTGACTTATAACACACACAAAAAAAACCCCTGCCAAACTGTCTCCAAAGGCAATCATACCATTTTA